ATATATATATATATATTCATCTTGGATTGTTTATGAGTTCTCTAGAAAGACACATCAAGTGTCTCTCTATAGCACTACATAGTTAGATAAATCAAGTGCATATCTATAGCACCACACACACCAAGGCTATGTATCTATTAGGAGCTCATAACTCAACCTCACATCATGCACTACCACATGCCATAAGGATGAGAAATGTATTGCACATGAGTATGCATATGACTTTATTTGACCACTAATTGGATGCGTCCACAAAATTTTCTTCCACTCATGGCTTTAATTAAAATTGAGATACTATGATTTTTAATTAAAATTTTGATAACACCTTGCATCATACACATGTGTTTTCTATTACCATTATAAGCACCATTAGCCACATCAATTGTAGCTTATGAATCACAATGAAGAGATACAAGAGGTGTAGTCTCCCCCCACATTAGTATACTAACCATTAGGCCCTTCAATTATTATGCTTCTTCATCTGTAGGTTCAAGCATTATGAATTTTGATTCTATTGTAGACTTTACTATATGTTTGTTATGATGATTTTCAATAAATAACACCACCTCTTAAAGTAAATATGTACTTACGGATAGAACTTATTTTATTATTGTCTAAAATTCAATTTGCATTACAAAAACCCTTCTAAGTTGGAAAGTTAGTAAAATGTAAACTCCAATTCGTAGTACCTTAAAATACTTGAAAAGACATTTATCACTATTGAAATTATGCCTACATCTATCCAATCTAGTGTGATTTATAAGATACATAACACTAACAATTATTTTTGCATAGACAAATTAATAAACACTTGTTCCATATTTTTTTTAAGATAAATGTTAAGATCATATGCTATTTTGTCACATACAAAATTAAAACTATTAAGGTAATTAAATTCTTTGATTAATACACATCTAAACTTATTTATTTTTCCTCGACTTGAAGGCAAACCAATATTAGTGCATATTTGATAACTTGTTTGCCGCCCATGGATATATATCAATGTAGATGCAAGAAATACTAGCTTATGCCCCAATTTCATATTAGACTTGGCTGATTGTCATACATCCAATAATATGATTAATGTGTGTTTTCAAATTTCTAACGTGAATTATCGCTCTCTTCACATTAAACAAAAACAACAAAGAGTAACTTGTTCATCAATTGATATAATTCTTACTTAGATGTAAATCCCAAAGCTGTATTCAAATATGTCCATAATCGATGTTTAAAAGGTAAAAACCACGTTTGATACCAAAATTGATTTAGCTCAAAATGGTAGGAACATATTTGCACCAAGTTCGAGACATATCAGAATTTTAATGCAGAAGGACTGTTAGATGATTAGTGAAACCAAACTCGCCCTTGCATGTCCATATATGATCTCCTTTACCTCCTTATTCTAAAGTTTGTTTATTAATTGGTGTAGCAACTAGCAATCAAAGGCAAAGATCCATAAGTGGCCTAATGCAGACATATGATGAGGTTAGAACAGAGTCAGCGTGTGAGCCGCACGAGGGGATCATTCTGCAGTGGCCGGTGCGATTCTACATCAGCTTCACCTTTTCTTTTTTACTGAAACTTCACCTTCTTCTCTGCTATTTTAATTGCATGGCCACTCCCACATGTCCCATGCTATCTTATTGCCCTTATTTTTAAAGGCCATGTCACGTGCAGGACCTTTTCCAAGGACCAGATGGTGGACTATAATAAGTTCAGTCTTAGATACGCTCACTTCTTTTTACCACAATCTATTTTACTTATTTGAAACTTTTAAGTCATAAAAATGAAATATACTGATAGTGACAAAAGCCCTTCCAGAAAGTCATTTAGAAGAGAGAATGGTTTGATTCCTATTATCATAAGGGCTTTTGGTACGAGGTATTTGAGACGCAAAATATTTTTACATCTTTTAGAATCTTGAAGTAAAAATATAAGTTTCTTATATTTGGTAGTTATTTAAAAAAAAATCTTAGGAATATAGTTTTCTAAGAACTTTTTTTATCCCATTTTTTTACAAAAACATCTTCATGAAGAGTAAGAATCTAATATTCTCGAGTCAGGGAAAAAATTTAATGCATTTAAAAAGATCACAATATCATTTTTTTAAAACATAAAATCCCTTTCATTCTCTCTCTCCCTCTTTCTCCCTCTCTCTTTGTCACTCCCCCTCTCTTCCTCTCTCCTCTCTCTCTCTCTCCCTCTCCCTCTCCCTTTCTTTCTCTCCCCTTATATTTCTCTTTCTCAATCACTCCCCCTCTCTTCCTATCTATTTCTTTCTCCCTTTCTCCTTTTATTTCTCTTTCTCCCTCTCCCTCTCCCTTTCTCTCTCCCTCCCATATCTTTATTTCTCTCTTTCTTTCTTATATTTCATTATTTTTTGACTTTGTCAATTTTAATAATATTATTAAAATTCATTTTGTTTTTATAATTTAATGATATTTATTAACAATTTTTAATTTATTTATTTATTCATTTGAATGAAATGAAATATATATTTTTATCCTTCTTAATTATTATGTAACATTTTTCATTGTTATTTTTTTGTTGCTGAATTCTGTATTTAAATAATTTTAACTATAAGTTTTAACTTTTTAAAAATAGTTTAATCTCATATTTGTAATAAGATTTAAGTAAATAAATATATATAATAAGTTTATTTTCATAAATGATATTTTTGTAAAAAGTATTTATATTCCCAAGAATATAGTAGTGTAATCAAACATGAAAATTTTTAAATCTCGGTAACCATATATAAATATTTCCAAGATTTTTTTATGAATAACCAAAACATATTTTAACTATTTCTAGGAATCATGAATCCCATAATTTGTAATTCCCAAAAATTATGATTCTTGAGAATGAAAAAACTTTCACCTTACCAAACGTCACCTAAATCTCATCATCATTATTTGTCATTTTGTACCATATAAATTTTGCATTGTTATTTTTTCACTAGACTATTGGGAGGACAATATATGATTTGATTTCATTCGAATATAATGATCACTAACGACACTACAAGACTTGGTGACAATATCACTAATGCAGACCTAAAATGTCAAAGAGAAACCTTTGTTTTGAAATCCACTTGCATGCAACTGTACACACAACTTGTTTTAATTTGTAAATCATGATTCCCAAGATTTATAATTCTCAAAAAATTATGATTCCTGATAATGAAAAAATTTCTCCCTTACCAAATGTCCACTTAATCTCATCGTCATCATTTATCATTTTGTATCATATAAATTTTGCATTGTTATTTTCCACTAGACTATAGGGGTGCTATATATGATTTGATCTCATTCGGATATAACGATCACTAACAACACTCGGTGACAATACCACTCATGCAGACCTAAAATCTCAAGAAAAACCTTTGTTTCGAAAACCACTTGCATGAAACTGTATACACAACTTGTAAACAAATCTTCATTAAAGCTTAATCAGACAAAATTTTGGTATAACTACTCGAAGTCAGAAATAGAAATGTAGAATGTGAAGTTCTGATAACATTATTCCTTACTTTCCCAAAATAGTCAACGTAATAACATAGGGCTTATACCTAACAGGCAAGGATAATTGATCCAAGCATATCATGTGGGACAACACAACAAAAATAGTTCAGTTTAGTTACATAATCTCCTTTCCAATTTCAAGATTGCACTGAAGACTCTCCCACACCATTGTCTTGAACACTCCCCCACATCCTTTACATGATCCCCACTATTCAAATTTCCCTTTAGGCACTTACACAGTATAGATGTTCTATATAAAAATTTGTCAAAATTCCGATATATAGTTAGGCATCGATACATGCTGCATTTTACAACCTGTGAGGCTTTACACGAGACTCCATTTTGACCTTTTTTGGTTTATTTACAATTTCTTTACAGATGAAACAAATAATACAATTATACAGAAGGAATTAATAAAATGCAGGAGAATCAATGTCTTTAAAAGATCAAACCTAGTTTTATGGCTTCTGGGCTTTAAACATGATAAAAGCCTGCTGAATTTTGCTCGAGTAATTGGTAAGACCACATGAGGTGCAAAGGTCTTCGATCTCTTCCTCTGCCAAATAGCCATAGCCTTGTGAAGTCCTCTGCAAAGCAGGAGACCTTTAAATCAACTAGGTTGGAATTCAAGGGAAACTAATTAAACTGTAGAATTATCTCATTAATGAAATCAGTAGACAATCAAGTAGTTCCTCTTAACAGATAAGTCATGCTCAATGAACATTCAGCATGCAAAATGTTGACAGTTCAGACTATAATAACAAGATCAAAGATAATTATGATCAGAGCTTACCTCTCTAAAGGGGCGGAGAAACCAGGGTGTTAATGAACTGTAACGCAGAAAAGTGCTTCCAACAAATATTCCACCACTTTTTAGTATCCTAGTGATTTCAGCAACCTATAAAAAGTTTATATTTGGATTTTCGTCATGAAAATTACAATATTTAAATTATAGTGTGAAACAGATATGTAGAAGAACATGCAAATAATATGGATCAGGTAAAATTCAACAAATATGATGATGAAATATGTGAAATCTATAAAATGAAGAGATCATGTACATGATTATTGTTTGAGAATTTCAGGGTAAATATAAACAGAATGAAGTTATGGAGACGGGTTTAAGTGATTTGAGGCAGCACTTGCACCTTAAGGCTGTTGCAAGAATTATTTATCATGTTGCGTGTCTTCACGAGAATTAAAATTCTCATCCAGAAGACAGAGTACTGTTAACAGAAAATTTGTTAGCAGTGTGTTTGGTTTAGCTTATTTTGAAAGAAGAAAAATAATCGTTCATTTTTGCTAGCTAAGAGAGCCTTCCAAAAATAAGCTATTATTTCCCCCAAAATAATTTCGACCAAACATTCACTTAAACTACACATGTTCTTTTTAATAAACATGCGTAACCATCGATATACAAAACCTGCATATGTATCTTTGCATGTATCATGTACGTATGTATGCACATCACAGGCAAATAAATTAACCAATAAATTCAGGGAGGGAAAAGATTTCATTTTATTTCTGCACATCTGCCTCCACACAAAATATTACATTCAGGACATTATTATAAAGCAGAAATTTCTGTCAGTTTCTCTTTATATTCCCCTCATATATCTCTGGAAGCAGAAATCTAGTTTTTATGATGCATTAAGACATTGAAGCGGTAAACATTCTGTTTAGCCAGCATTTCTTGCTTCAGAAGAACCAATTAAGAAACTGATTTGTATTATAAGAATATGAGCAAAATATATTAGTTTCAAGGTCAAACGGTAACACTGCAAAAATTTCTACATTTTAAGAAGTGGAAATGCTGCACAACAGGATGTAGGAAGTAATAAGTACTTACAGTGACCAACTTGGTAATGGCTTACAAAGAAGACATAAGTTTTTAGAGTGAATGAAAGGCACAGCCTTTTAGTGCAAAGACTGGTTCGTGCTTTTAATTGACATGAGCACACACAATGATACCAGTGTGATAAAAAGGTTACCGCAACCCCAACATTTTACTTTTCATCACACGACGACACAGCACTTACAGCATTGGAGGGAGATGGCCAGCAATGCAAAGCTGCACCAGCATGAACAGCATCAACCGAGCCTGATGAGAAGGGAAGCCTAGAGACGTCTGCCCTAACAAGAGCAATATTACTGCAAACAATGAAATGAAACAGCATTCAGGGCATCCGTGTCTTCTAATACAAAAAAAATTACAAAACAATGAATTTTTCATTCTTTTGCTGCATTAAATTCAAAATCAAGTATAGGATGAGAAAAGGATTACGTTGTTGAAAGTGTATCATCTTTCTTAATGAAATCATAACATTGGCGAAGCATGTTTTCAGAAAAGTCTAGTGCTATGACTCCAGAATAGGTTCCAGATTTGGCAAATTTTCGGGAAAATAAACCACTACCACAACTAACATCAACAACAAGTCCACCTTTAGCAGATTCAAAGTACTCTTGAGCCATTTTGAACTGCATCACAAAGAAAATGTGATAATCTTAATATGTATTGCATTACTTTGAGGTAAACTGGATGCTGGAGAAAAAGAGAAGAAAAAAAATATAGAGCCTCAGCTTCAATCCTGTGATATATATGTTGCTAAATATAATTGACTATGTCTAGCAAAATACTTTTCGGACAGTGAATCATACCTCTTCATCAGGACCAGGAAAGCCACTTTGCCTGAAATTTTGACGCCAACCTCTTTCATATAAGAATGAAACAAGGGGACTCCTAATAACAGTTTATACACAAAGGAAAACATAAGAACATTCTTAAACAATTGGGGCACACAGAAAACTGAATAAGACTACGACTTGTGCCACATGTTAAAACAATAATTCATTAAAATGGAAAAAGAAAAAAAAAATCCTCTGATAAAAAAACACATGGAAAAATGGACATATAAGAAGTATTGCTCATTAACTGGTATGCGCAACACATGATAATAATTGCTCAAGTATACATACCTGATATAATTATATTCTATAGTATCAAGGGGTTATATTATAAAACATGACAGTATAAGTCCATGAAATTGGAGTTATATCACCAATCATACCTGAAAAGCTCAGTCCGAGCTGGTTGAATTTCTGTATAATCTCTCAATCCAGCAGTTACAGTCAGATCCAGATACCTGTCTTTGCTAGAATATGACTTCCTACATTTCTTACACATGAAACCAGACCTGTATACTGCTGATCTGAAGTTCAAAAACCATTTAGTTAATTACTACAACACTGGATTTTAGACACATGGAATTAAATACACCTACCCTGATGCATATCTAACCAACTTACAAGTTAAGGCCAGAAGGACCTTTTCTTATCAATGGTTCATAACATATTGGGCAAGCAAAGATGTCTGCTTCAATTGCTTGATTCTGTTGCGTATATAACTCCTGAACCAGAAATTAATGAGAATCCTAACATAAGTCATAGATTTTGTGTTGAATTTACTGCATTACCAAAATCTGCAGTTTTACAAAGGAAATAATGGACAACGTATTAAAAAAGTACCCTATACTTTTTTTACAACTTTCTGCCAAAAAAATGTAAATAAATAACCCTAAGAATTAATACTATAAGTCATGATTTTAAACTGCAGTGTTGTGACTATAATTGGGTTAAGACTTAAGACACAAGTTGAGAGCTTAACCCAAAATACTAGTCCATTATGTGGGAGAGCTTTACGAATTAAGTATCACAACAACCTTCTTATGATATTCAATGTGGTACTCCTAACATTGTCACCCCTTATGAAAGACACAATTATTAGATCTTAAACACAAGAAGAGAATTCAACCCAAAAGACTTATCCATGCGACTTTCACTCTATCAGCACTGACCCGATGGTAACTCTTTTTCCTTTGATGGTTTCACTCACCAATCAATATTCAGTATTGCAACTTAATCCAATCTGAAGGTAAACCACCTTAATCTATCTCTTTGACAACTTCACTCATCTATCAATATTCAGTATTATACCTCAATCTAGCCTATACATGCCGATGGTAACCCTTTTCCCTTTGATTAACTACAGGTTAAGTACCCCATCAAGCTTTTTACACTACTCAATGTGGGACTCCTAACAAATCGCAGTTGTGAACCTCAATTTAAAATCATGGTACCATTAAGCAGCACATTAAATCATTCATGCACTCATCTCCCATCTCTCTCTAACAACAGCGCATAGTAAAATAACTTCAAATATTTTGCAAAAAAAAGAGGGTTAAGCCCTGATCATACCATAAACTTATTAAATTCGATTCTAAGAGAAAATATAAACTATAATGGAAACCTTAATGTCATGAAAAGTGCATGAGAAACACTATGTTGAAGATGTAAACGACAGCGTTGCGTTAAAAAGGGAAAATGAATAGTGTACCGATTCAGCAGTAACTGCGGAGATAGCACGAATGGTTGTTTGGGTTAGGGAGCGTAGGGGACGAGGGTGAAGGTGGGATTTAGAAGAAAGGCGAGGGCATTTCGGGAATTGTGATTGACGTAAAGGAAGAAGGAAAGGATTAGTAGTAAAAGACATGGCCATTGTTAAGGAATGAAGTGATCACTAATGAGCTAAGAGTGCCTCAGAAACTCGCTTTCTTCTTTCTACTTCCTTCTGAGTCCAGAAACTTGTTCACTTGGGAGCCAGAAAAAATATAAAATGGGGGGGGTGGGAGATTATGATATTATTAGTTATTCGTTATTGTGTTTTTTCTCGTTATAAAGTGGGACAGAGCTGATGTGACAATGATATGGTACAGGAAATTGCTTATAAGCAAATTTTATTGCAGATGTTCTTAGTTATTTCTTACATGTAGGTTTTAAAGTGAATATTTTATTTTTCACAAATGAATCAATTATATTAAAAAAAAATGGTAAAGAATGTGTTAAAAAATATTTTATTATTATTTATAAAATACTACAATCATTGAACGGCGATGATTGTTTTAAAAATTATCTATCACTAAATAAGTATCGAACATTTTTATTAATTATTTTATTTTATGATACCGTTAAAGAGAAATTAGTATTTTAGTTTGTAGATAAATATTTGTTTTTTATAATTAAATTTATAATAATTAAATATCTTGAAAACTTCTTAAAATGGTTTTTGTTCAAAATAAAGTAAAAAAAAATACTCATGTTAAAGAATATTTTTTGATAATGATGAGAATGATACGAATTTTTTTGAAAATTTTAGTTAACTGATAATATTTTATCTTAATTATGTTTTCTTTATTTTTTAACAAATTCAAGTTTAATATCATTGAGATCAATAACTTGTTTATTCATGTTGAAAAATAGATGATTCCTAAATTCTTCATATTAAAATAATTATTTTAATTTATTTATGGGAGGTTCAAACTACACCATGTAACTTTTATAGTTATTGTACTGTTTAATACATTTTAATTGAATAATATTTGCTCAAAAATTCAATGTTAGATTGAAGTTTCATTTCACTTAAATTATAAATGCAAAATTTTATGTTAATAAAAAATTAATAAATATTTTATTTATATAGATCAAAATTGATATAAAATATGTTTTTAAAAATATAATAAAATATAAATAATTTGATAATATTCTTATAGTTTTTCAATTTTCACAAAGTCTAACATTCATAATAAGTTTCAATTGGTGAATTTTGAAAAAATATTATTCAATTGAAAATTATTAAATGGTATAATATATATAATATATATATATATATATATATATATATATATATATATATATATACTAAATTCAAATATATAAAATTTTAAAAGGCTCTCATTAAAAAACACTCAAAGCAATTTTGTTGAGGAATAATTTCTAAAGATATTTTAATTTATCATAGTTATTATAATTTATATGGTAAGAAAATGGTATAGACAAAATCATTAAATAAGCAAACATTACCAATTATAAGACCTTGTTTGAAAATTTTATGTTTATTACTAATTTTATATGATCCCTTCATATAAAAATATATAGATTATCCATTTTATCTTTGAATTCTTGAAGGTTAAATAATCATTAATTTTACAATTTTGCTCAAACAAGAGATGTTAGTCAAATGTTCGTAACTAAAATTTTACAAAATGTGTAACTGAATTATTTAAGGTCAGAATTTATTTTTATATTATAAATTTGAGTTCTGGGAAGGAGCTTCTTAGTGAAAGGGGGAGTTGTGGTCGTCCCAATTTTTTTTTTCAAAATTTATTTTAGTTTGATTTTTGATTTAACGAGAGTTACATAAAATAATTTGGTAGAGAATTATTGTATGGTAAGTTATTTTAAGAATTTCTTCCTCTGTATCACTCTACAAAAACTAGAAGCAAAAAAAGTCAAAAAAAATTAAAAAAAAATTATATTAAAATAGATATTAATTTATAAATATTTTTCAATTAATTTTTATTTTGAAAATTTCAATTTCTTTCTTCAAGCTTTGCTACTATTTCAGTCGTCATTATTAATAAAAATAGAGTTTAATTATAATTTACATATTCAATATAAATGATTTATATTGTCAATTAACTAGGCTTCACTGTTAATATATTCTTTTAGTAAAAAAATTCACAAATTTATTAGTATGTTTAGTTGAGAAAGGAATAAAGAAGAAAAGAAAGTCAAAATAAAGAAAGAAGGTAAAAAATGAAATTATTCTTTTATGTTGTTTGGTTTAATAGAGAGTAATAAAAGGGGGAAAAAATTACGTAGAAAATGACATAAATATCTCATATAAAAAAACTAAAATATAATTTGCAATGAGATATTTTTATCTTTAAAAGCTTCTTTCTCCCTTTCTTCTAATTTGGTGTTATTAGCTTTTTCAGGTGGGTCCTGTTGATTAATTATTAGTAGTGTTTGGTTAAGGATGAGAGTCATATAGAATTAGTATTAGTTTGACATTAAGCGGGGTGTTTAGTAAGGGAATTTATATATATATATATATA